AGAGAGAGAGAGGGAGGGAGGGAGGGAGAGAGAGAGAGAGAGAGAGAGAGAGAGAGAGAGAGAGAGAGAGAGAGAGAGAGAGAGAGAGAGAGAGAGAGAGAGAGAGAGAGAGAGGTGTTTGCGGCGGTGCCTGCTTGAGGCGGAGGAAGGTTGCCAGCTCGAAGCTGCACCACAGCCGCGAGAGGTACGTCTCGTCCCAGCAGACCAGCAGCCGGTCCGAGTGGCCGAGGAAGGCTCCGATGTTGCGGATCCCCTCCTGCTTGGCGTGCACGTCCACCTGGTCGACGGAGCACTTGTCGAGGAAGCACCGCTGCGGCGGCGGGCGGCCGAGGAGCAGGGCGAGCGGCAGCAGCAGGAAGAGGTGCGTGAAGAGCAGGTGCATTCGAACGGGGTCATCGGCCGTCGAGGTGAAGACGAGGTCGGGAAAGAGGCTCGGCAGCTGCTGCGGCAAGCTCGCCGCCTCCGCCGCGAAGCAGAGCGCGAACGCGGCCAGGCTGACGCGGGCGAGCCGAGGGCGGTTGAAGTAGATCGCGAGGGCGAGGAACTTTTGGGCGCGGCTGGCGGCCCAGCTGTGAGAGACAAAGACGTCAATCCTTGGCACGACCACGGCCAAGCTGTTGGTCACCGCCGATCCGCGCGAGTCACCGAGTAGCGCACCGCAATCCTGCAGCAGCGCGCTGGCGCTGACCGCCTTGAGCAGCGACCGCCGCGTGAGCCGAATGCTGAGCGGTGTGGCCTCTGCCGACGGAGCTTCGGCGACCGCTGGCGCCGCCACTGCGGCTGCTGCGGCTGCGGGCGGCGCAGACGCGGGTGGCCGTCGTTGCATTCGCTCGTTTAGCGCGCCCGTACCGCCGCCGTGAATGGGCACGAGGAGCCGTCAACCGACTCGTCAACATGTGTGCCGCGAAACGCCGCCTCGTTTCTTCTTCTTCTTTGAGAGCGGCCCCCCAAATCTACCCTTATAAGTCTCTCGTGTCGGCGCCGACGCTCTTTTAACGTAGAACGTCCCAGCCGAAATCCGCCCGCCACGATCGATCAGTCCACAATCGTCGGCCCCCAGCGACCCGCAGCGATGGATGCCGCCGCCCCCCCGCCCCCTGCGGCTAACGCGCCGATGCACGACCGGCCTCCGTGGGATGGCTCTCCGGCCTCTCCGGCCGCTGACGCGGCCGCCCATGCTGCTGCCGATCCGGTCCCTCTCACGCTCAGCGATATCCGCACAAGCTACGACAACTTTGAGGTCGCCGGCTTTGGCCAGGTGCAGCCACCACCTGCTTGCCTCCATGTTCACGCTTCGCGCCCCTCCCCCCCTCTGACACCGCCGTATGACCTTAGGTGAGGGGCACGACTACCCGCCTGGAAGGCGCTCTCATCAGCAAGTCACCCAGGCACCAACTCCTGGGCGTTTACGCTTGACTACGAAACCATGCAGTGGATGCAGCTCGATCAAAACGGCGACGCCAACAGCTGGTCCCTGGGCGAGTTCCTCGCCCAGGATGAGGTGCGAGTCATGATGCTCGACCCAGCGACCAAGTCGCTCACATTCCGTGAGTTCGTCAACGGGCCGATCATCCCTCCAAGTCGACTGCGATCTCGGACTCCGACAACTGGCCGCGGAGGACGATGGCTCCCTCGACGACATCCCTTCATCGACAGACGCCTTCACCGCCGCCGGCCCTGGGCCATCCAGCGCGGCCTCCGACGGCCTGCACGTGATCGAGCGGGTACAGAAACGGTGGCTGCCCAGCTCACACCCTAATCGATCTGCCTTAGGCACGGAGCCAACGGAGCCATCGCGCATGCCCGCATCGCGTGCGGCTCCGAGGTCTCCCGCCGAGACCGGCTCGGCGCGGCGCGTGGCCGCACGCCGCCGTTGAAAAGGCGAGATAGGACCGAGGGGAGAGCGCCGGCCACATCGAGCGAGCGCTGACGTGTAAGGTGTCTGTGCTGCTCCGGTGTGTGTGGGATTCTGCCTCCCCCCCATCTGTGCGGCGAGTTGTTTGCGGCGCGATGCCCGATCGTGCGCGATAGCCTCCCATTGTGCGTGGTGTGTCAGTGTGTCGGGGTCGTCCGGAGCGTGTGGCGGCGCCGTTGCATGCAGCGCTGCTCCACGTGCCACGACTGCTTTGACTGACGTGACTGACTGTGATGAGACATGAGAGCTGATGGATGATCTCCGACAACCCAAAACCAAAATGCAAATGCGGAGTGGCCCACTTTGGCGTGCAGATCCTGCGTCTCTCACTGCCCGAACAACAGAGAGGGGTACCGCCGCAGCTACTTAGTTTCTTTTTAAGGGACGCGCGACGATGAACCTAGCACGGCGACGCCTCGGCGCATCCGCAGAGGTGCTAGTTCGCACCTCTTCCTGCCGCATGGGCATGAGATCGTACATGACCTGGAACGAGGTGCCCGCCGCTCCCTTGGACCCCATCCTCGGCGTCAACCAGAAATTTCAGGCTGACACATCCGCGGAAAAGGTCAACGTGTCGATCGGCGCCTACCGTACGGATGAGGGCAAGCCCATGGTGCTCAGCTGCGTCAAGAAGGCGGAGGCGCTGCTACTGGAGCAGAGTGACCTCAACAAGGAGTACCTGCCTCAGCGCGGTGACGCCACCTACGTTCAGCTCTGCCAGAAGATGCTCTTTGGGGAGAAGGCGTGAGCCGCCCGCAGCCTCGCGCCTCTCCACTCGCAGTGGCTCGCGCCGCTTCGCGGCACGAGATTCGGCCCACACCTCGCGCCCGTCCGCCTCCGAGCGAGCGCGAGCGCTCGCACGCAATCGCTTCTGTGCCTCCTCCCCACACCTCTCTCCTCCCGTCTCACCGGCATGGCTCTGCGCTTTTGCAGTCAAAGCTGCTGGCGAGCGGGGTGGTGGCGACGGCGCAGACGCTGTCGGGCACGGGCGCGCTGCGGCTCGGCGCCGAGTTCATGAAGAAGTTCGCCAAGGGCAAGACGGTCTACATCTCCAATCCGACGTGGGGCACGCACAACTCCATCATGACCCAGGCGCCGCTCGAGAGACCACACACCACACCCTCCCAGCACGCACCAGGCTCCGCTTCTATACCACACACACACACACACACACACACACACCACACACACACACACACACACACACACACACACACACACACACACACACACACACACACACACACACGCACGCCACACGCCACACACCCTGCCACACTCAAGCCCGCGCCACACTCCGCACACCACACGCCACACACGCCAGCGCGAGCGTGCCCGTGCAGCACCCAGCGACAGGAGCAAGCCACCCGCGGCCGGCGCAACAGCGAACAGTGCCCATCGCCGGCCGTGCCGCGCCAGCTGCGGGCCCTCGCTGCGCGCTGTCGCGCTGGCCCTCGCAGCACACCGCGGCCGGGGTGTGGCGCTGCGCGTCCGCCTCGCACCTCGCTCCTCGCCTCCTCCCGCAGGCTGGGGTGCCCTTCTCTCACTACCGCTACTGGAACGCCGCGGGCCGTGACCTCGACCTGGCAGGCATGCTGGAGGACATCGAGGCGCGGTAGCCTGCCCCTCTCCCAGACACACCTCTCTCGCTCTGCCAGACACCTCTCTCCCTCTCCCAGACACCTCTCTCCCAGACACCGCTCTCCCACACACCGCTCTCCCTGGCCTGGCCACGCACACTGCCCGCCGCACTGCCCGCGTCTCACTGCCCGGCCCTCTGGGGCCGGCCCTCTGGGGCCGGCCTCTACTCTCCCCTCCCTCTCCTCGCCCCTTCCCCCCCCTCCGGCCACCCCTTTCCCTCCCCCTCCCTTTTTTAGGCGGCGCCCGAGGGCAGCGTGATCATGCTGCACGCCGCGGCCCACAACCCGACCGGGGTGCGGCGTCTTGGCGGCGGAGGAAGGCGACGGGCCGCGCCTGGCCACACGCCCCCCCCCCCCCCCCTGCGGACAGGTGGACCCGACCGCGGAGCAGTGGGGCGAGATCATGACCGTCTGCAAGGCGAAGAAGCACGTCTGCTGGTTCGACTCGGCGTACCAGGGCTTCGCGACGGGCGACGACCCCACACGCGCCGCCGCCAGCCTCTGCACCCCTCCTCCCCCCCCTCACCGTCCGCGGAAGGTGAGCAGGCGACTTGGACATCGACGCCACCGCGATGCGCGCCTTTGCCGACGAGGGGTTGCCGCTCTTCGTCAGCCAGGCGAGATTGCCCGAGATGCAGCCCCTCTTCGTGAGCTCCCACCCTCCCTTCCCGCCCTCCCCGCCCTCCCCGCCCTCCCGACATCCTCTCTCTCCCCTCTCCTCCCTTCAACCTCTCCCCCTCCCTCCCTTTCCGTTGCCCCCCCCTCACCTCCCTCCTCACCGCCGCCCCCCCGCCGCCCGCCAGTCCTTCGCCAAGAACTTTGGCCTCTACGGCGAGCGCGTCGGCACCTTCTCAATCACTTGCGACACGCCCGAGGCCGTCAAGGTACAGCCGAGACTTCGCCGAGATGAGGCCGAGATGAGGCAGAGATGAGGCAGAGATGAGGCAGAGATATCGCCGTCAAGCCCTCGCCTCGCACACGCACACACACACGCACACACACACACACACACACACACACACACACACACACACACACACGCACACACACACACACACACCCGGCGCGCACAGGCGGTCATGTCGCAGCTCGACATCATCATCCGCAACCTGTACTCCAACCCGCCCAAGCACGGCGCAGACAGCGTCGAGGCCGTGCTCTCTCCTCCTCTGCGCGCCTTCGCGGACGCCCGCTCGGACCCTCTCTTCAGGCGCAAACATCGTCAAGACCGTGCTCTCCGACCCCGCGCTGTACCAGGAGTGGCGCGACGAGCTCAAGGCCATGTCATTGCGCATCCAGGACATGCGCACGGCGCTGTACGACGAGCTCACCAGCCTCGGCACGCCGGGCAGCTGGACGCACATCACCTCGCAGATCGGCGCGCGCCCCTCCCTCCGCCGGCCGACCCGCACCACCACCGCCCATCACCTCCGCGCGCCCGTCCACACCTTCAGCGGCGTCCTGCGCAGGCATGTTCTCCTTCACCGGTCTCAGCCCGGAGCAGTGCACGCAGATGGTCGAGAAGCACCACGTGTACATGCTGAACAATGGCCGCGTCTCCATGGCCGGCGTCACCTCGAAGAACGTCAAGTACATCGCCAAGGCCATCGACGACGTGGTGCGCAACTTCTGAGAGCGTTGACGATTGTCCCGCCCCGCGCGGCCGGTTGCGCTGTGCTTGCATAATGGTCCATTTACGTGTGTGGAGGCAGAACTACATAGGAGACAGAGAGAGAGGGTTTTCTCTTGGGCGCCAAAAGATCTCTCATCCCAAGCAGGCTGCTGCAAGCACCGCCACGACCAAGCGCACTACCGCGCACACTCGACACTGATGTCACTGTCACTCTGAGAGGAGGGGCCCCCCCAAACTCGATTCGTTTTTCTTGGGTTAGGGTTCACTTGGAGCACTTGGAGTGCGGTCGGCCGCAACCTCACATCCAGGGCCGGGGAGCTACAAAGCGCACCCAACGCGGACCTTGGAGCTCTTGGAAAGAAAAACCCAAACTCCAGGGATGGGAGGACGGCACGCCGCCACCACACAGTCGGAAGATGGAGACGACCCCGCGGAGCCGGAAAGGCAATGGATCGTCGACCTGCTGACGGGCGGCGACCTCCTTCCCGAGATCCTGCGGCGCGCTCCGGTCTGCCTGCAGACGCTTGACGCCGTACCGGCTGTCTGCTCTGCGTGGCGGGATGCCTGGCCCGCCGTCCTCGCTGCCTTTCCCGTCGTCCGACTTCATGGCCGGGTGCACCCCGACATCTTTGTCCGCCGTGGAGAAATACAAGCGGCGCAGGGCGCCCAAGGTTTCTCATGGTTCTTGAAAAATGATGCTGTGCATCGGGTTCCCCGATGGCCGCTTTGGCGTCATCGATGACAACTACCACCTCGTGCTTATCTCGCCCGACGGCGCCCTGACCACAGTCCCCGGCTATGAGATCCGCCATGAGCTGGGAAACATGGCCTGGGCGCTGCATGGCACGACCCTCTTCGTCTGTCCCAATAGCATCGGGCCGAAACGCGTAATGAAGATCAGCACGCCCGATGCTCAACTCCTCGAGACGCTGGAACTTCCCATCGGCCACATCGGCCTTGCCTGCTGCGTCGCGGCGGCTGCCACGGCGACGCGGCTCTTCATCACCCTAAACGAGGGGGGTGATTGTCGCGTGATTGTCGTCAACACCGAGGCGGGTCGGATGAGGATACAAACTACCTTTGGCGGAGAAACTGGAGAAGGCGGCCTCCGCTGGCTGCATGAGCCAGCCGGGATCGCTGTGCACGACGACTTGGTGATCATCGCCGACTGCTGCGGTCTGTCGGCCAAGGAACGACGCGAGGCAGGGATCGACGCGACGCCTAGCCTGCACGTGTGCACGAGCGAGGGCGCCAGGCTTCGCACGATTACTGGCTTCTTCAACCCGTGCGACCTCGTGATCGCCGGCGGTCGGTTGTACGTCTCGAACATGTGGGACAGGCGAGCTGTATGGGCCGCAGCACGTGCCATGGGCGCCAGGGCCGCCGACAGGCTAGCGAGCGGTGTTGAGAGGCCCAGTGTAGAGGACGGTGAGGCGACGCCAGAGCTGCGGGAGGCGTGGCGCGTTCAGGCCCGGCGGGTGCACGCTCTCACGCTGCCAGCCCTCGAGCCAGCTCCTCTCGTGGACGAGATGCTGGGGGTCGCACAGATGCGGCTCGTGGACGACATGCTGACAGGCACAGACGCAGCTCGCGGACGTCGTCCTCTCAGTCACTCGCGCTTTCACAGCCCCGGCAGCTTGTTTGTCTGCGGGGAGCTGCTCTGTTCTGTGAATGACGGCGTGTTCGCGTTGCAGCTTCCGAAATCGGTTGAGAGCCAGGAGGGACTCTAATGTTGAGAGCCCTGGTGGGGGGTGGGGCGTGGTCGACGTTTGTTTGTGTTTTCGTAGTGTAAAACAGCGCGCCACGACCTACTGTCGCACGTGGTTCTCCAGTCGTGTCTCTACTCTGCCGTCTACACCAAGCTGCGTTCTGACGCGCGCTCCTCCCCTCTGCCTCTCTCGCTCCCGGAATCGCGTTGCGACAGCTCCCTCACAGCCGCATCTTTCGCGGTCGTCGGGTCGCGAAGGGTCCGCGCGACGTGCGCGATGTCCTCTGCGTCCTGCGACATGGCGGCGCTCGAGTGGCGCAGCCCGAAGAGCGGCTTTGTGCACGGGAAGGGCGGCGAGAAGGTGTGCACGTGCAGCAGCGCGAAGTTGCGCAGCGGCCGCTCGAAAAAGCGGCCCGAGCCGGGCGTGTGCGCGGGCGGCAGCTCCGACGCGTCGAGCGGCTGGAAGGCGGGGTGCACCCAGCTGGCGAGTGCGCCGCTCTCCCTCTCGCGCGAGGTCCGCGAGGGCGAGGTTGCGAGCTCCGCCTGAGCGGCGGGAGGGGAGAGGTGCGAGGGCAGAGAGCGAGGTTGGGGCTGGGCCATGGCGGAGTCGACGAATCGGGAGGCGGAGTGACTGGCGCGTCGAGGTGGGGGCCTGCCGGGCGAGGACCGAGGCCAGGACAGCCTGCCAGGCTTGGCGGACGGACGGGAGGAAGGAGCTGCGGTTGAGCTCGCCTACTAGCCGTGAAGGGCAGGCCTCGGGCGCGCCTCTCGAGTCCTCGCGAAGAGGCGCGGCCCGCCACGGACGCGCCAACGTCGATCGAGAAGGTTTGCACGTCGGACTCTGCCACCGCCTGCATCTGTGCGTCCAGGAAGCCCACGCGGAGGCCGAACTGGTGCAGGAAGCGGAACTCGAAGAGGTCGCCCGAGTAGAAGTCGAAGGTGCGGTGGCCCTGCTCGTACTCGATGTGCGCGCGGACGTGCCCCCGGATGATGAGGTGGAGCCGCTCGCTCTGCGTCGGGTCGTTGATCAGCGTGCCGGGCGAGAAGGTTCGGATCTCGCCCGGCCTGAGGACGTACCTCGCAAAGAGGACGCGCGTGATGCCTCCGTGGCGGAAGAAGAAGCGCCACAGCTCGTCCTCCGTCTCCGCGAGCGGCACAGACCGCTCGTCGTACAGCAGCTGCAGGAAGGAGGAGAAGTGCACGTACAGCCCGACGACACTCCAGATGACGGTGTCGATGGCGATGAACTGCGGGTCAGAGACGTAGTCGCCCCAGAGCGGGAAGCCGAGCAGCCCGTTCACGATGAGGAGGACGTACCTGGCAAAAATCGAGACTGCTGAGGGTAGAAATTTGACGCGCGGAGCGGCGGGACCCCCGCCGCTCCTCGAGAAAATGATTGAGTCTGGCGTCTGGTGGTGACCGAAAGGCTACTTACTCGCAGGCGAGTGCACCCGAGGGAGAGGTAGAAGCGGACGAGTAGGAGGTCCGAGTAGAGGCCGGCCAAGAGGTAGAAGAGGCTGGAAAATTGGCCCCACAATCCGCTTGGAGTACCAATCACCACCTGGCGGATAAGAGAAAGAGGAAGAGGTGAGTGTCAGCCTGTCTGAGCGAACTCGCGATGAGAGACTGCCGCGCAAAATGCTCGAGCGAGGGAGAGCTGGGCAGGCGGGTGGTACCATGGTCCGTGGCGATGAAGCGAGACGATTCCTGAGCTTGTTGCAGGAGCTTGACTGAAGGGAGAGAGGAGGAGGGGCAGAATGAGGAGCTACAACTTGAGACGCTTCAAACAAGGGCTGGGACGCGCTGGCGAGCCAGCCTCAGTTTTTCACAGCCTTGTTATTGAGAAGAAAATACCTCCTATGGCGCTGTGCGCTGGCCTGTGAGAGGTTGAGGTGCGAGCCCTGGAGGCCCTTCACAGGGGGGGATCCGTCTGGCGCCTTTTTCGCTGCGCATGCTCGAGCCCCCGGCGAGGGCTTGTGCTGTGAATAGCAGGCAGGCGTGGTCTCTACTCGCCAGGGCTGGACGGGCCGCCCGCGTTGGAAAGAAGAAGGCGTGGCATGGAGCTGCGCTGAGCGCGACATCGAGCGAGAGCCGGGCGAAGAGATAGGCAAAGGTGACATCTGAGGCGATCACCCAGGGCGATCGCGAGAGACCTTGAGAAGTGGCGGAGGCCGCTGAGGCCGGGAGGGCCGGTCCCTGAGTGGTGGTGGCGGGCCGTCCTCCCATCCCTCTCTTGGGTCGTCTGTTTGCTCTCTTTTGGGGGGGCCAAGGGCCCGGCCTGCTCCTGGCTGAGTGGTCGACTCGTGTGAGAGAGCCAAGCGAGCGAGCGTACGCGTTCGATAACAAAAACAAAATAACGCAGGTCAGCGAGAACTCACGGGACCTGTTCCTTTTTACCCATCTCACAGTAGAGGTGTCCGTTTTTTCATTCATCAACTCAGTACTCACCCTCCGACCGAGGCGGTGTCGATAGCGGCCGGGCGCGAGGCTACGTCCGACGAGGGTCGACTTGTCCTGTCTCCTGAGTCTCAAGAACTTGCAGCGTCCCACGTCTCGCGACATGTCAGCAGACAGCACCTTGTCTCCATGTCTCACGTCTCAGCAGTCTGTGCGGGCTGCGCGCCGGCGGTGTATCGCGTACAGTCGCGCTCCCAATACGTGCATCGACTTTTGTGACGGTATGTTACAACTTTGATCAACCATAACTGCCATGTCGACGCTCATGAAAATCGATCGGGCGCCGTAAACACCGTCACAAAAGTGAGATGCACGTATTGGGAGCGCGACTGCGGATCGGTTATATCGCACAGAATAAAGATCAACATGTGTTTACTCCGGCTCGAGACACATATCATAAACATAATATGTGCATTTCCATTATGGCATACACACGATTCAACGCGAGATGAGCGAGCGAGATGACCCCTGCCTCATCGCGATCGGGCAGACCACAGACCGCTGCGTGGGCTCTCGAGTCGAGGAGTCTATCTACACACGAGCGACCGCGGGGTCGAAGCTCACCCACTCGCCCACCCCGTTGCCGCCGCCCTCCGCCTCCCCGTTACCGCCGCCGCTCGCCGCCGCCGCGGCCTCCTTGACGCGGCTCCCCAAGTCCTCGAGCTCGATGCCCGCCGCGCGTGCGCCCGCAGGCAGCATCGGCACCTACTCAAACAGGTTGGTGTCGGGGGCGTGAGTGGCAATGCACGTGCGGTGCCCCGCAGCCTCCGCTCGCGCGGGAGGGAGAGGTGCGCACCGCAGAGCCCGGCACTGAGACCTCTGACATGCCCTCCTCGGGCGACCCGGCGGCCGAGCCGAACGAGCCCATCGATCCGACACGCTCGATCGACCTCGCGTCGCCGAAGCCCTCGAGGGCGCGCGACGCGGCGTCCGACGCCTCAGAGGCCATCGCGGCGGAGGAGGAGGCGCCGCACCTGTGGAGGGGGAGGGGGGGAGGAGCAGGAGGGGAGGACGTCAGCGCCGCGCATGGGGAGGATCTCTCTCCCCCGGCCCCTCTGTTTGCCATCTGCTTTGAGATGTGACACGCGTGGGTGTGGCTCGAGGGTTCGGCCTCCCCTCCCGGGGCGGTGGCTCGCACATCTTGTAGCGCAGCTCGAGGAGCTTGTTGAGCCGCGCCTGTGGGGGCAGCGAGCCCGTCGCGTGAACAAGTGTGTGTGAACGCCTCTCTCCTGCGGCCGCTCGCGAGAACTCCCCGGCGGGCGGGAGCGGGCGGGCGGGAGCGGGCGGGCGGGAGCGGGCGGGCGGGAGCGGGCGGGCGGGAGCGGGCGGGCGGGAGCGGGCGGACGAGGGGGGGGGAGACGCCTTCGCTATGGCCTCTGCGTCCGCGCCCGGCTTCAGCATCGCCGCCGTCTGCCGCTCCTCCTTGACTGGCCTCCCCGCCTACGGCCACGACGTCACGACAAGGCTCGCGCTCTCTGCGGCGTGTGCGTGTGGCGGCGGCGGCCTCCTCCTCGCAGCGCGCCATGTGTGTCCGCTGGTGGCCACGCAGCATGAGGGCGGGCGAACGCAGCGTCGCGATCGGCGGGCGCTGCTTCCGGCGGCGGCGTAGCAGGGCGATGCAGCCGAGGACGCCGGCGGCGGCGCCACCGCCGCTGAACAACAGAAGCCCCGCAGCTTCTCGAGAGAGAGCGAGCAGCAGAGGCGCGGAGGGCGGCGCGGAGGGAGGCGGGGCGGGGGGTGCGGAGGGGGGCGGGGCGGGGGGCGGGGCGGGGGGCGGGGCGGGGGGCGGGGAGGGGGGCGGCGGCGGGGACGGAGAGGCGGAGGGCGGCGGCGGCGAGGGCGAAGCGGAGGGCGGCGGCGGCGAAGGTGAGGCGGACGGCGGCGGCGGCGAGGGCGAGGTCGACGGTGGTGGCGAGGGCGAGGTCGACGGTGGTGGCGGCGGCGGCGGCGGTGGCGGTGGCGGGGGCGGCGGCGGAGGGCTCGGTCGTGGGGCCACTGGGGCCAGCGACGGTGGCGGGGGAGAGGGCGAGGCCGAGGGAGGCGGCGGCGAGGGGCGCGCGGAGGGCGGCGGCGGGGAGGGCGAGGCCGATGGGGGCGGCGGCGAGGGCGACGCGGACGGTGGCGGCGGCGAGGGCGAGACCGACGGCGGAGGCGAGGGGGGGGCGGAGGGAGGCAGCGGCGGCGGCGGCGATTGCAGCGCCGCCGCCGGAGGTGAGGGCGAGGCGGACGGCGGCGGAGGTGAGGGCGAGGTCGACGGCGGCGGCGGGGAGGGCGACGCGGACGGCGGCGGCGGGGAGGGCGAGGCGGACGGCGGCGGTGGCGAGGGCGAGGCGGACGGCGGCGGAGGGGAGGGCGAGGTGGATGGTGGTGGCGGGGGGGGCGAGGCGGACGGCGGCGGAGGGGAGGGCGAGGCGGACGGCGGCGGAGGAGCGCAGCAGCCGTCGCACTCCGGACAGGTTTGTAGCAGATCTTTCACTAGGTCGCATGATGCGGACTGCAGGGAACTGCAGGGAATCGCCGTGGGGCCGCACTGCGCGAATGCGTTGCACCCTCCCCCAACCAGCGGAGTTGATGGCGAGGCGGACGGCGGCGGCGGGGAGGGCGAGGTGGACGGTGGTGGCGGGGAGGGCGAGGCGGACGGCGGCGGAGGGGAGGGCGATGTCGACGGCGGCGGAGGAGCGCAGCAGCCGTCGCACTCCGGACAGGTTTGTAGCAGATCTTTCACTAGGTCGCATGATGCGGACTGCAGGGAACTGCAGGGAATCGCCGTGGTGCCGCACTGCGCGGTTGCGTCGCACGCTCCCGCGACCAGGCGGCGCTTTTGCGTGCCGTCTGCGTCGAAGAGCGACTGGGCCAAAGGCGCTAGAGCTTGGCCCGCGCCGCCGACGCCTCGCGCGGCGGCGGTGTTCGCGAGCAGAAGCGCGTGCAAATAACTCATTGACAAGGTCTTTTGCCGCTGTGAACGGCGCATGGTGCATGATCCGGGTTGGGGATTGATCTCGGATAATCTCAAACTTCCTGTGCCCCCCCTCACGCAAGCAGCCGCCGCAACGCCGAAAAAACAAACACCTCAGTGAACAGCGTGCGATTTCGGTCCCGGGGTTGTGCGTTTTTGTATATACCAAAAGGAGGGCTACACGAGGCCCTCTACGCTGGGGTGCCGGCCTACTGGGCGCTACGTGAACAGCGTCGCCCGTGCGGCGTCGTTCTCCTCCGGGTCTGTCGTCGACCTGTGCTTCTGGTAGTGCTTCCGCTCAGTCTTGTGCGTGGAGCGGTGGACTTGGTTGCGCATGGTGCAGCAGCCCTCCGACGACAGCTGCTGGTCCGCCGAGGACCCCAAGAAGGCGCACTCTGACGAGGCCGTCACAATCGACGCATACTTTTGCCGCATCGGCGAGTTTGGCCGCTACCAGCGCAGCCACTATGCCGTGGTGGCAGGTGCGTGGGTGGCCTGCGCCTGGATCACGTTCAGCATGGTCTTTGTCAACGCCAGGCCGGCGTGGTTAGCTGTCGCCGAAGGCACGACGACGACGCCCTGCGATGATCCGGACGCCTGGACGATCGCCGACACCGCGCAGAGCGTGGGCGCCGAGTGGCGGCTCGTGTGCGCCGACGGCTATCGACGGGCCAGCCTGGATTCGCTCTACTTCCTCGGCTTTCTTATCGGCGCATCGGCGCTGGGCGCGGCGTCCGACCGGTACGGCCGGCGCAAGGCGTGCGCCGTCAGCGCCGGCATCGCCGCCGGCGGGTCGCTCGCCAGCGCGTTCGCGCCGAGCTTCGGCGCGTTTGCAGTGCTGCGCTTCCTGGCCGGCATCGGCGTGGGCGGGCTGGGCAGCGACTGCTATGTGCTGGCGTCCGAGTTCATCGGGCCGTCGTGGCAGAGTCGAACCGGCAACGCGCAGGCTGCCATCTTCGCCGTGGGCGGCACGCTCCTTGCGCCGGTCGCGTTGTGCATGCCCGGGTGGCGCTCGCTCGCCCTAGTCTCTGCGCTGCCCGCGGCGGCGTACGTGCCCGTCTTCTTGCTCGGCGTGGCGGAGTCGCCGCGCTGGCTCCTCGCACAGGGCCGCGCCGACGAGGCGGCCCGAGTGCTGCTGCGGGTGGGCGTCGTCAACGGCGCCACCGCGCAAGGCACGCCGCCACCCAAGCTCGCGACGAGTGGCGGAGGCGGCGGCGGCGGTGGAGCCGGGGCGCAGACGTCCGGTCGGGACGAGGCGGCGGGGGAGTTGCGGTGCGGCGCGGTGGGGCGCCTGTGCTCGACGGCGGCGCTGCGGCGGCGCACGGGCGTGATGGTGCTCTGTTGGTTTGCAGCGAGCTTTTCGTACTACGGCCTCTCGCTCAACGCGGGCAACCTAGAGGGGTTGGGACCCTGACCCTAGCCCCGACCCTAGCCGTGACCCAGCCCTGACCCTAACCCGAACTATAAGCTAGGTCGCTACACGCCAACTTTGCACTCAGCGTGGCGGTTGAGATCCCGGCTGACTTGCTCGCCGGCTGGCTGTGCGACCGCGTCGGGCGCAAGATCACGCTCGCCGCCGCTTTTGGCGCGGCGGGCGCACTCTGCCTGAGCTGCGCCGTGCTACCCGCGAGCCTCACCGCGGGCGCCGCGATGCTCGGCAAGTTTGCGATCTCGGCGGCGTTCGCCATCGTTTTCGTGTACACGGCGGAGCTCTTCCCCACGCCACTGCGCAACGTCGGCATGGGCGTCTCGTCGAGCGCGGCGCGCATCGGCGGCATGGCCGCGCCCTCGGTCATCCTCCTCGCAGACCTGCTCGGCGCGCGGGCGCCCAACGTCGTCTTTGGGAGCGCGGGCGCCGTGGCGTGCTGCGGCGTGCTGCTGCTTCCAGAGACCAAGGGCCGGCCGATGCCCGAGACCGTCGCCGACTGCGACGACGCACGTGGACGCTCGAGCCGCCGGAGAAACAGCATGAGCACGCGCAAGCTGCGCGTCGCGCCGCTCTCCGAGTCCGACGGCGATGCGCCCGTCGACGAAGGAGCTCCGGTTGTGTGGTCCCCTGCGAGTGAGAGTTTTGGTACAACACAGCTCCAGCTGTCGAACTGACCCGCAGCTCCTCTCAGAGCGGGAACTGTGACGAAAGTTGACTGAGGCGGTTGTCAGGAATCATCATACGGATCACATGGTGGCTCTTTCATGACGGGAGACCGCCCGACCACTCCTGGGTGGCACTGCCACCGGTGTCGCTCGACGTCCTGTCGACAGCGTGCCGACAGCGACACAGACCATGTGGGACGCGTCGAGTATCGACCTCTACTGCTTACCCAGCCTTCGAGTGTATCCTGCCTGTGGTCTCACACCCACTGGTGTCCATCTCAGAGACCGCAGGAGGTCATGAGGGTCGATGGGAGTGCCAATCCCACAATGCCTTAAAAACCCAGCCCAGTACGAAGTTCCAAGCGGGACGTGCGTCAAAACGAAAATCGTGGGAGCCGTCTACAGGAGCGAATCTTTCAGTGTCTCTCTCTCTCAGTGTATGTAGCTCTTACGTACATTCCCGGAGGAGGACTCTGCTGACAGGTTTGCGATGAGGAGCGACCCGAAGGGTTTCTCGGAGGTGAGTGCACCACTGACCGCCGAAGCGCAAGCGCTTGGAGAAGACGCCCAAGGAGGGCAGCAACGGCGTTCTCGAACGAGTTGAGTACACGGTGCCCGACTCTGACCTCACGGCCTTTCTGAGCGCAACGAGCGCCAAGGGCAAGGAACCTAGGAAGCGTACACTGACGATGGAGGAGACCGATTTCAATTCGGAGGGGCCAGAGGCAAGGGCGGCGGCGTCTGTGGCGGATCCGTGGGAAGATGGCTGGTCATACACGTCGCTCGGCTGCAGTGAGCGGTTTCTACCGCTCGCCTCCTTTTATCCTGTACTCTGCATGTGCATGTACATGTTGGCGATTTATGTGTGTTCTATGTAAATAGCTAGCCGAATAGCTGACCGAATGCAGACGAGACGCTGCTACTCGTCGCTACTGCATGACACACGAGGGGCCCGCAGAATAGAGGGCTGTACGCCGCGAGCCTCTTCGATCAAGCTGCTGGGCGGGCACCGGGCTTCAGGCTGAAGCCTGAACGGTTCAGGGTGGTGCTCACGCGACGTTCAGGCTTCAAAGGGAATCGTCGAATCGACGCGATGTGCAAAGCATACAAGAAGGGCAGAAAGGGAAGAGGAGAGACGCCGGTGATGACGAAACAGAAACTAGCGCAGACGAGAGCAGGGCAGACCCGGGCGGGGGACGGCGGAGTCGGAGCAGACGGCATCGGCCGCCGAGGGAACGTTGGGAAGAGGCACGAGGAGGGCGGCGACCTCAACCGACTATGGAGGACCCGCCGCCAGACGACGCAGGGCAGACGACGGGGGAGAGTTGGGGCAGGCGCGCAGGGCGAGACGAGGGAGGGAGCAGGACGTTGCGGAGATCAGCAGGAGGGTGTACGAAGAGATTAGGAGCAGCAGCCAGCAGGGACCCGAGGGACCATGTGGAAGGAGACGGCTAGTGCTAGTCCCCCATCGGGAGGACGCCCCCGGCTAGTCGCCGACCACACCCACAAAGAACCCTGCACAAAGATCGCACGGGCGGTGACTTGTTCCTTTTTACCCATCTCACAGTAGAGGTGTCCGTTTTTATTTATTTATCTTCGATCAAACGCTCCTTGAGGCTCGCCGGATCTCCGCGATGTCCGAAGGTGCGAAGGAGCAAGGACGGCACGGAGTGTGTGCGTGGTGTTCACGCTGTTCTTTGGTGTGAGGTGTTTGATGAAAGTTGATGCCCAAAATATCATGCGATTCAATTACGCATAAGCCGGCGCGGCAACCAGCAACTCAAGATGACCGCAATACTAAACTCTCAAAACACCGCGGCAGCCTCAACTTTGCTGCGCCGCCCCTCACGCTGCTGTCGCCGCGCCAAAGGTCTGGTGCACAATCTCGCGCGTGCCGTGCATCTTGCCCATCCCCTCCTGCGTCGCGTGGCCGTGCGAGCCCAGGTTGATCTGCGAGATGCCGTCCGTGCCGAGCCCATCGATGCCCTTGATGTTGGTCGTCCGGTCGATGTTCTTCGACGTGTCGAACGTGCCCGCCTGCGAGGCGTGCCCGTGCGAGCCCATGCCGACCGCGGTCGTGGTGCCGTCGCCGCCGAGCCCGTCGATGCCCTTCACGTGGTCGACCTTGCTGATGTTCTTCGACGTGTCGAAGGTGCCAGCCTGCGAGGCGTGGCCGTGCGAGCCCATGCCGACCGCCGTCACGCTGGCGTCGGTCCCCAGGCCGCCGATGCCCTTCACGTGGTCGACCTTGCCGATGTTGCGGCTGGTGTCGAAGGTGCCCGCCTGCGACGCGTGCCCGTGCGAGCCCATGCCCACCGCCGTCACGCTGGCGTCGGTCCCCAGGCCGTCGATGCCGCGGACCTTGTCCATCTTGCCGATGTTGCGGCTGGTGTCGACGGTGCCGGCCTGCGAGGCGTGTCCGTGCGATCCCTTGCCGAGGAAGGTCTGCTCCGCCCGGCCCTTGCGCAGCGTCTCCTCGTCAAAGTGCCGCACCGACTTGTCCGCAAGCTTTGCCCCGAGGGTCGGGCCGCCGTAGCCGGGCACCTTGCCGCTGACGCGGCCGAGCGAGTGGATGTTTGTGATGACGGCCATCATGTCCTGGTTCTCGTAGAGCGAGACGGTCTGGAAGAGGTCGTGCTTCGGGACGCCCAGCGCGCTGCACGCCTCGAGGTACTTGGCGATGTTCTCCATCTGCTGGAACGCCATCTTCATCGTCGACGGCTTCTTGCAGACGCCGGGCTTGAGCGCGTTGACGAGGGCGCAGAGGACGACGCCCGACTTGAGCGCCTCCTGGAGCGTGCCCTCGAGCGCCTCGCCCGTCACCGCCTCGATCCACTCCCGCGCCTCGCGCTCCATCTTCGGGTCAAACTTGGCCGCCGCCTTGTCGGCGAGCTCTTTGTCCATGCCGTAGAGCGGGATGCCGTCTTCGCGCTTCGCGGCGCCGTCGTAGCCGGCGTGCACCGCGTTGCTGACCGGCTTGGTGGGCACGCGCGTCGACATGAAGTGGTGGTCCGTCATTGTTGGGCGAGGAAAGGTGGGCGCGATTGGGACGTGCGAGTTTGAGTCCTCCTTGCGCCTTTGATCACGCGGCTTGACCCCAGTTGGGCCACGGTGACTAGGTGTGAATGGGGGAGTTCGATATTCACAGTCGTTTACACTGAGGGAGCAATGGCTATTATTATTCGGGTTGCTTTGCCGTCATCATTCAGGGCGGCGTCCTACCATGGCGGCTCAAGTCAATTATTAATATTGCTGGTGTCCGCCGTGCGAGGCGCCGTTCCACTTCTTTGCCGCCGGTCTGGCGCGGTTTCCTATTTGCAATTATTCTGAGGGAGGGTGGTAGAGGATGTAGAGTGTAGAGCGCTGTAGAGCTGCTCAAGATGTAGAGCGCTCTGGAGCGCTGTAGAGCAATGTAGAGCTGTAGAGCTCTACATCCGCCGCGTGACGAGGCGGGTGCGTTGTAGAGGCCCTCTACAGCATGAAATCTCTACCACAAACTCTACATCATAAGGCACGCCGGCGACGCATGGCAGGCTGGTCATGACGCAGTTATAGGGTGTTCTGTGCCGTCAGAGTGACTCTCTGTGTGTCAGGGATAGTCAGGGCCGTCCATCAGAGCTCCAGTAAGCTCGGAGACACCCCATTAGTGCGACTCGACCTCTTTGAGTCACTGCCTTCCCGGCGGTTTGGCTGTAGAGCCTCTACAACAAACTCTACAACAAAATCGCGCTCTACATCGCTCTACAACGCACCCGCCTCGTCACGCGGCGGATGTAGAGCTCTACAGCTCTACATTGCTCTACAGCGCTCCAGAGCGCTCTATCTACAGCTCTCAGCTCTACAGCGCTCTACACTCTACATTGAACTACATCCTCTACACCCTCCCTCAGCAATTATTGCACGCCGCGCCGCCGTTGGGCGAACTTATCGAGAAAGTTCTTCATACAAGCCTCTCTCACAGCACACTTGCACGACAAGGCGCGGAAAGGCACAGAAAGAAAAGCCCGCGGGCGCGAAATGCGCATTTCGAGCCACAACGCAACGACTCCATGCGTGGCGAGGCTGCCAGCTCCTCCGGGCCGCTCGCAGGCTGTGGCTCCCTCGCCGCGATTGCCGAGGGCGTCGAGCTGCAGCACCTGCTGCCTCAGCTGGCCGGCGAGACGCTCCATTCACTCTGGGCGCTGCAGCGGCCCGCACTTCTCTCCCATCTCAGGAGCATTGGAGTTGAGCGATTGACCGAGCGACAGAAGCTCGCCACGGCTGTCGTAAAGGCTAGGGCTGCCTGTACCGCTGCTCCGCAGCCTCCGCCACCTGCAACGCCGCCGGCAGCAGTGCCACCGCCTCAGCCACCACCGCCTCCGCCTCCGCCTCCGCCTCCGCCTGCTGCACAGCCTCCGACCGCCGCTCAGCCTCCGCCCGAATCGCCGTCCGACGACCAGCTCGCCGCCCTGCTGAGCAGCCTCTCCCTCGACGTGGGATGCGCCCTCCGCGGTGCCCTCTCCGCCAGGGCAGCCGCTGCAGAGAGGCGAGCGCAATGTGACGATCGGTATATGGCCTGCCCTGCAGGCGCCTCGTTTGCGGATCTCGCCGCGCTGCAGAGGCCGGAGCTGCTCGCGGCTCTCAAGGCGAGATCAGCCCGAGATGTACCCGAGATGTGCCCGAGATACACATACACATATACACATGCATTTGCATATGCCCGGGATGTGCGGAGCTGCTCGCGGCTCAAGAGGCGAGAGGACGGCCGCACGTCACCACCACTCCCTCCACGCCGCTCTCTCCGCCGCTCCCTCCGCCTCGCCCTCCATCTGCCACCACTCCCGCCGGACACCACCACTCCCGCCGACTCGCCCACCCTCAGGAGAGAGGTATCGCCCGGCTTTTGGATCGGCAGAAGCTCGCTTCCGCCATCGCAAAGGCCGCGCGCACAGCCGCCTCTGTCTCCACCTCTTCATCCACCCTCGCTGCCTCTTCCGCCTCCGCCTCCGCCTCCGCCTCCGCCTCCGCCTCCGCCGTCGCCTCCTTCTCGCCCACAGGCATCATGCCCTCCCGCCCGCCAAGGCCGGACCCCGACCCCCTGCCCGCGCCGGGGCGAGCCGCCTTCGAGAGGCGAAGGCGCGTGCCTCCGCTTCCAAAGTACCGCCGGCTCACCTCGGCAGAGCTCGCCCGCACGGTGCCCGCCCACCCCACCCACCCCACCCATCCCACTGCCACCTGTCGTGCCAGCCGGAGGGGTGTGGGAGAGGCCGGAGGGGTGTGGGAGAGGCCGGAGGGGTGTGGGAGAGGCCGGAGGGGTGTGGGAGAGCGCCCACGTCACACGGCCCCCATGGCACACGCCCCCCATGGCACACGCCCCTCTCAGGCGCCGCTCAACCTGCCCGGCGATTGGCACGGCCTGCCCCTCCCAAACAGCCTCGCCGAGCTGGCGACGCCCCGGTTCGGCGCCGCGTGGCTGACTAGAGCGTTCCGCGCCGCCGGCAGCATCGGGCCGGACAACGCGGTGGAGGAGATAACCGCCTTTGAGCCGCTTGAGCTGCAGGATATGCGGCCGAGATCCGGCCGATAGTTGGCCGAGAGTTGGCCCAGAGCAGACCAATTCTGCGCCGGTGGGACTGCGGTGCCGCCACTTCACAAGGCCCCCCAGGGGGAAGCCCCCCCCCCCCCCCCCCCCCCCATCCACACACACACACACACACCACCACCACCACCACCACCACCACCACCACCACACACACACACACACCACCACCACCGCACGTCCCTCTTCCAGATCTCCCCTTCCCCCGCAGGGCCTCGACGCTCAGGGCGGCGCTGGCGAGAAGGCGCTGCTGCGCGTGCGCTACGCGAGGCAGGAGCCCGGCCGGAGGCTGCACACCGACCTCTTCGTCAAGTGCCCGTGGGAGTACACCCGCTTCGCGTACCAGCGGTCCCTCATCTCGGTGCAGCTCGGCGACGGCGACGGTGCGGGGCCGCGGAGAGGGGGGTGAGATCCTCTTTGTTGGGAGGGGGCGAGGGGAGCCGAGGCGCGCCCGAGAGCGCGTGTAGGGATGGAGCTGAGCGTGTACCAGTTCCTCGAGGGAAGCTTGCCGCTCCGCATCCCGCAGCTCTACTTCGCCGACCTCTCCCGCGAGTCGAGCTTCTACCTCCTCGTCACCGAGTGCGTGCCTTACGCGCCGCGCGGCCGCACCGAGGACGGCTACCTCCTCGACTGGCGTCGGTTCGGCGTCGGAGAGGTGCTGCCCAAGTCGGGAAAGTATCAGGACGACCGGATCGTCGACGCGCACCTCTACTACTACGTGCGCGCGCCGAGATGTCGAGATCAGTGGAGAGAAGAGCCACGGCGCCCCGTCTCGAGATCCACCGAGCCTCCGAGGCACTTTGCACGCCGCGCGCCCCGCGTAGCCCGAGGCAAAGCCGACACCATCCCTCCCCCACCCGCCACAGGCGCTCTTCCGAGCGATGGCGCGCGTCGCCGCTGCGGACAAGCGCGGCTGCTTCGACCACCACCTTGGCCGGCAGGGCGACGGCGGCCCTCCCGCCAGGAGCGCGATGGGGCAGCCGCTACCCGCCGACACGCGCGCGCGGCGGGCGGCGCTGGTCTCGCGCAACTCGCAGATGTTCGGCTCGCTCAAGGAGTTTGTGCTCGAGTACGCCCCCGGCCTGTTTGGAGGCGTGCGCCCGCTGCTACCCCCCCCCCCCCCACACACACACACCGCACCGCGAGGCGAGGCGGGCCGAGCTGAGCCGCCGCCGGCCCGTAGGCGAGATCGCCGACGCAGCCTACCTCGACCGCCTCAAGGGTGAGTACGTGGAGATGGCCCCGTACTTCACCGCGGCGATGCACGCGCTGGCGGCGCACCCCGAGCTGCACGTCCTCTCGCACGTCAACCTGCAGATCGACAATGCTTGGTTCTGGCGCTCCGCCGACGCCGACGGCGCGGGCGAGGCGGTGCTCGAGTGCGGCCTGCTCGACTGGTACAACGCGAGCCGCGTGCCGGCCGTCTCTGTCTTCATGGGCTGCCTGAGCGGCATCGAGCCGGAGGTGCTGGCGGCGCACGAGGAGGGCCGCGATGCGCGGCGTCGCCGCCGAGTGGTGCCTCCCATGAGCCCTTCTCGGAGCCTCCCTGCAGGAGGGCCTGATGCGCTGCTTCGCCGACGAGTACTTCAAGTACGGCGGGCCGCAGGTTGACCCGAACCTGCTGCGGCTGCAGTTCCGCCTCGCCTTCTGCGCCGGCTTCGCGGGCAACCTGCAGTACATCGAGGCAGAGGTGCTCAAGGAGATGCCCTCCAAGGAGGAGTGGCGCTCGGTTCGCGACCGGTGCGCGGGGCAAAGGCGCGCGATGGGCGGGAGCGTGAATGGCGTCTCCTCATGGCGTCGCCCTCTGAACAGGTGGGACCCGCGCGTCATGGGCCGGTGGAACGTGCGCTGCCGCACGGTCGCCTTCCTCCAGCTCATCCGGGCACACGAGGCGCTGGGCATGCACTCCTTCTTCATGGAGTGGGTGCGGCAGAACCCGGCCGTGTGCCGCAGCCCGGGCGTTTAGCGCGGCGTTTCTACATACATGTATTACGAGTCAGTTTGTGTAATCCGTCTCTCCGGTGTCACACGCGCTACCTATGCACAAATGACGCTAAATCGTAAATGCGCTCCCGAGCTCGTCCCGTCCTGCTCTCCCCTCTGGCTCCGTGGCTCGCTGCTCGGCTCTCTCTTCTACGTTCTAGCTTCTCTTCTTCTTCTTCTTCTTCTTCTTCTTCTTCTTCTTCTTCTCTCTCTCTCTCTCTCTCTCTCTCTCTCTCTCTCTCTCTCTCTCTCTCTCTCTCTCTCTCTCTCTCTCTCTCTCTCTCTCTCTCTCCTCTCCTCTCCTCCTCCACCTCCTCCTCCTCCTCCTCCTCCTCCTCCTCCTTCCTCCTCCCCCTTCTTCCTTCTTCCGTGCTCAGGAGTTGGTTTTCACTCGCTCGAAATGTGTACGTAAAACAGTTAACACCGACCTAAAAAAAGAGCGAAATCCAACCTGAGACCTTTACATTTCGGCGGAGTTGGCCATCTCCTTGCGCCTCCGCCAGCTCACCGCCAGCTTTGCCAGCATGCGAGCTGTCAACACCAAAGGACGTGGCGTGCTGCCACGCAGCGCAATGCCTCCCAGGAGAGCAGCGCCGTCTGACACCAACGCGAAGGACAGCTCGAATGTTGAGTTGATCGAAGGCAGCCACGGCTGCGCTTTCTGCGCTGGTCTCTCTGATGTTTTGTGGCTAGGGCTTGAGCGGAGGACGGACAAGGGCCAGGAGATGGGAAGCAATACTAGTAAGTCAAGCCGTGCCACCGAGATCAACACAGCCCAGGCAGAAAATCTGCAGTGGAACGTACCGGGTGCGGGTGCTGAGTGGTGGCGCCTGTGTGTTTGACGTAACGTGTGTTTGCATGCTACGATACAGTGCTAAGAGTACCCTGAGTAACGGATGTGTTGGAAGCAGCGGGTTTGACCCTGCCAAGGTAAGATTGACGAGTCTCTGTCCGAGAGGGAGAGAGCCGCGCGGCGCGCGGCGCGGGCGCCGCCTCGGGCTCGGCTCGTCGGCCAGCGCGTGGGCCCGCAGACGCACGGCACGACCTTAGCTTTTTTTCTTCACATTTGATGCTCAAGAAAGCGATGCATTAGCGCCCACACCTTACGCCCTACCCGCCACACTCTTACAGAGCACAAGCCGCCGGCCGCGGCGTTCGCAATGTACTTGCCGCAAGCGCCAGGAATGTGCGCAGCTTCTCGGCCCTTCCCCTCGAGGCAACAGCAGCTCTCGACTCGCCTGCGACGGGGGGCGGGGAGGCCTGCTCAGATCGTGAGATTCCGGATGAAGCATTTCCTCACGCTTGTGCGTCAGCAGAGGGAGCTTACGGTCATCAATGCAGGAGGGGAGGTGCAGGTGGGGCGCTGGAGGGGGCTGTGTGCGTCTGTGTGTGGATCGATTGGACGGGTGTGGGGGGGGGGGGGGAGCGGCTCAATCCCTTAGATGTTCGAGTTTGTCTCGATCAGGGGTCAGTACAGGTCTGTGTAAAGAGGCTCCTCCTCGCCGCTCGGTCCGAAAGGGGAAAGGGGGGAGGGGGGGGGGGGGGGGGGGGTCTTCTGGGTTGCGGAAAACAACCTTGTTGGAGGGCCCCCCTCCCATGGGATCCCCCCCCCGGGGCGGAAGTCATATGCATAGGGGGGGGGATCCTCTCTCCCCCGGGGGCTGCGTGCGTGCGTGCCCTGCGTGTTTTTTTGGTGGGGAAAAGGGGGAAGGGGGGGGGGGTGCGAAGAGAGGCGCGGGGGAGTGGAGGAGGGAGCCGGGCGGCGGCGCGTGGCTCAGAGTGAGCTGGATAAGGAGGAATCCGCGTCGCCAAGAGTGGCTTGGAAGACCGTCGTGAAGTCCTGATGCCTCATCAGCGCCACGGGGCGCCGCCGCCGCCCGAGTGTGTGGGGCGTGGGTGTGGTCTGCCTTGTGGGGACGAGGCCCGGCGCGGGCGGGGGAGGGCATCACCACGCGGCGGCGCGCCTCTTCGGCGGTGCACCGTCTGGCGTGGCGCGGCACGTGGACGCGCGACACGGTACCTGCGAGAGGGGCCGCGGTGGCGGTCAGACACGCCGCGGTGGAGAGCGCGTGCGGGGTGGATGGCTGTGCGCAGCAAAGGCAGCACGGAGCTCAGACAGTGCGAAGCACGGCTCGCAACATCGCTTGCGGCCCCGGACGAGGGTAGGTTCTCCAGCGTACTCGCTGGACCCTCAGGACCGCACGCACTCAGACGAATAATGGGTTCATCACTGCTCCGGAGGCGCAGGACGGGCGGGCGGGTGGGGTCGGCGGGCGTGGGACAAGCAGACCTGGAGATGCGAGCTCCGAAAGGACGGCGTAGAGCTGCCGCACGTCACAGGATGTGCTCTCGACGTGCGCCGCCACGGGGTTGGTGCTCTCGACGACGACGGAAGAGCCCGGTGAAGGAGCGGTTTGTCCTTCAGGCCATGGAGCGTTTGGGGGCACGTATGAACCAGAACCCAGACCCACCCAGCGACGTGCCGCCGGCGACACCGGCCAGTGAAGAAAACGCACGAAGCCGGGCCCGAAATCGCACAGAGACAGTCACGCAAGGGTCTGTTCACCACGCTCGGCGCGCGGCGGCAAGGTGCAGGACCCATTGGGCGACGCGGCCAGCAACATCGGCCGCCTCGGGCACTGCGGCCGCCACAACAGCCTCCTCGCCGCCCTGGCCAAGCCCAAGGTCATGCGGAGCGTGTGGGGCATGCTCGTCGAGGTGGAGCCGCGGGACCACCTCGGCTACTCTAACGACTACCGGCCCGACGTCTCGGTGGCGGGCGCCGGCCGCTCGCGCTCGCGCCTCGTCGGCGACGTCAAGTTCAAGGACTCGCTCTCCTCCAACCCGGAGGACGTCGGCCAGCGAGGCGCTTTCGTCGGCCTCGGCAACACCGAGCCCGGCACGAGCGCGGACGTCTTCGGCCTCGAGCAGCGCGGCGCTGTCGGGGACGGCGACTTCAGGCCGAGCGACGGCGGCGGCTATGTGGCGTACAAGAAGGCGGACTACGCGCACGCCCTCTCAGCATCAGCAGCCTGACAGCTCTGACAGCTCCCTCCGACAGCGTCTGACAGCAACACCCGACAGCTCCGACAGCACCCGACAGCTACAGATCCCCTCGCCTGTCAGACACGCACCCGACAGCACCCGACAGCACTGACAGCACCTGACAGCTGGTCTGACAGAGGCACCTGACAGTGCCTGACAGCTGCCCGACAGCCCGACAGATCACCTGACAGCACCTGACAGCCTGACAGCCAGGGCTCAGGTCGGTGTGCTTTTGCACCCGAAAGAGCTTGTCCACCCGCGAACAGCTCCTCTTCACAGCCAATCGCTGTGAGTAGGTCTGCCCGCACCCCAGCCTCGCCGGCTCCTGCGTGGACGTGAAGAACAACTACCAGACGCTCTACCTCCACCCGGAGAGCGAGAGAGTGCCGCGCCAGTGCTTTGAGCGGCGGGCCAAGCTGCTCTCGAGTGAGGCCGCGGCCGTGCTGGAGAGGACTTAAAAGTGCGGGGGTCGTCGGGCTGGTGTGCCGGCGCTGCGGGCAGCGGCAGGGCCCTGCAGCGTGCCGCCGCGCGCCACGATCTCCTGTTGTGTCTGAGTATAGGCAAGCTTCAGTTGGCTCGCAAGCGGACGTTTTCTAGAAGTGTTGCGGCTGTGAAGCACGCCCAACCTACCGGATTTGCCCCGAGCTAGTCTGTTCAATGCCCACGAGCGTACTAGAAAGAAAAACACGCGCCGTCGTTTACCGCGCTCTGGCCTCCGCGCTCTTGCGGGCGCAGCCAGCCCCGCAGCTCACACTACCGCGCACCGCGTCGCGCCCGTTGCCGATGACGTTCCCCGACGAGTGGGGCGCCGGCGGCGGGGACGGCGGCCCGACCGAGTCGAAGCTCGTCCAGCTCTCGATGCAGAGCAACGAGGCGCTCCTCATCAAGACGCTGCTGGCGCGGAGCTGCCCGAGCGCAAGGCTGAGCCGCGTGCAGCGCGTGCAGAACAAGATGCTGTGGCGCGAGTACGCCCACTATCGCGACGAATCGCTCGTCCACACCTGCGCCGGCGGCGACGTCAACGAGATGCTCCTCTTCCACGGCACGGCAGAGCGGGCGGCGGAGGATGTGCTCGCGCATCAGAACGGGCTCGACCCGCGGTTCTCGAACGGCGGCTTTTACGGCCAGGGCATCTACCTGGCGGAGGACCCGTCCTACCCGATCGGCGGCCGGTACGCGCACCGCATCTCCGGCTCGGGCGGCAGCCGCGTGCAGCTGCTCATCGTGAAGGCCGCCCTCGGCTCGCAGCAGGAGATGGGGCAGCGCATCAGCGCTGAGACGAGGGCGATGCGCATGCCGGACGTCCGCGTCGAGGGCCCTCCCCGACTCCTCTACAACAGCGTGCGCGGCGGGCCGCACCGCCCCTTCGTCTCCGGCGGAGGCGAGAACGGGTGCAACGCGTCCATCGTGCACGTTGTGTACGAGTCGCGCCAGATGTACCCGGCGTACGTGATCGAGGTCGAGATGGAGATGGGGGCCGAGGTGGTGGCGGCCGTGCGCAAGAACTCGGCGGAGGGGAGTGCGAGCGCCGGCCCGGCACCCAAGCGGCAGCGCCACGCTGCGCCGAGCGGCGGCGGCGGTGGCGGCGGCTCCAGCAGCGGCGGCGGCGGCAGCGGCAGCGGCTCTGCTGCTCATGTCCCCGCCGCTGCGCCACCGAGCGACGCGGAGGTGCAGGCGATGGGCGTGGCGGCGGCGGCGGCGGCGCTGCGGGCGCACGGGTCGGTCAGTCGCGTCGTGCTTGCGGCTTGCGGGCGGTTGGCTGATCTGTGCACCAAGGTGCAAAACAGGCAACCCGCGGCGGACGCGGGCGCGCTCGAGGCGATCGTAGCGGCGCTGCAGGCGCACCCGCAGGTGGCGGTTGTGCAGCAGAATGGCTGCTGGGCGCTGGTCAACGTGTGTGTCGGCACCGACGCCGCATCGCTCGCACGTAAGCAGCGCGCAGCAGACGCGGGCGGCATCGAGGTGGCTGTGGCGGCGATGCAGGCGCACCCGCAGGTGGCGGGTGTGCAGGGGAATGGCTGCCTGGCGATGGCCAACGTGTGTTCCGGCAGCGACGCCGCAGGAATCGCAAGCAAGCAGCGCGCAGCAGACGCAGGCGGAATCGAGGTCGTTGTGGCGGCGCTGCGGGCGCACCCGCAGGTGGCGGACGTGCAGGAGTATGGCTGCTGCGCGCTGGGCGACGTGTGCGCCGGCACCGACGCCGCAGCGTTCGCACGTATGCAGCGCGCAGCAGACGCGGGCGCCATGGAGGTGTCTGTCGCGGCGCTGCAGGCTCACCCGCAGGATGCGGGCGTGCAGTATTATGGCTGCTGGGCGATGGCCAACGTGTGCTCCGGCACCGACGCCGCAGCGTTCGCACGCAAGCAGCGCGCAGCAGACGCAGGCGGCATCGAGGTGGTTGTGGCGGCGCTGCAGGCGCACCCGCAGCATGCGGACGTGCAGGATTATGGCTGCTGGGCGATGGCCAACGTGTGCTCCGGCACCGACGCCGCAGCGTTCGCACGCAAGCAGCGCGCAGCAGACGCAGGCGGCATCGAGGTGGTTGTGGCGGCGCTGCGGGCGCACCCGCAGGTGGCGGGTGTGCAGGAGTATGGCTGCTGCGCGCTGGGCGACGTGTGCCACGGCACCGACGCCGCAGCGCTCGCACGCAAGCAGCGCGCAGCAGACGCGGGCGCCATCGAGGTGTCTGTCGCGGCGCTGCAGGCTCACCCGCAGGATGCGGGCGTGCAGCAGTATGGCTGCCGGGCGGTGGCCAACGTGTGCTTCGGCAGCGACGCCGCAGCGCGGGCGCGGAGGCAGCGAGCTGTGATTGCGGGCAGCATCGAGGCAATCGTGGCGGCGATGCAGGCTCACCCGCAGCATGCGGACGTGCAGCAGTTTGGCTGCGGGACGATGGCCATCGTGTGTGTCGGCTCTGACGCCGCAGGGCTTGCACGCAAGCAGCGCGCAGCCGACGCGGGCGGCATCGAGTTGGCTGTGGCGGCACTGCGGGCGCACCCGCAGGTGGCGGGTGTGCAGGGGAATGGCTGCCTGGCGATGGCCAACGTGTGTTCCGGCAGCGACGCCGCATCGCTCGCACGTAAGCAGCGCGCAGCAGACGCAGGCGGAATCGAGGTGGTTGTGGCGGCGCTGCGGGCGCACCCGCAGGTGGCGGACGTGCAGGAGTATGGCTGCTGCGCGCTGGGCGACGTGTGTTCCGGCACCGACGCCGCAGCGTTCGCACGTATGCAGCGCGCAGCAGACGCGGGCGGAATCGAGTTGGTCGTGGCGGCGCTGCAGGCGCACCCGCAGGATGCGGGTGTGCAGGATTATGGCTGCTGCGCGCTATTCAACGTGTGCGTCGGCAGCGACGCCGCAGCGCGGGCGCGGAGGCAGCGAGCTGTGACTGCGGGCGCGACCGAGGCGGCGGTAGGGGCTATGCAGGCTCACCCGGACGCCGCAGCTGTCCAGAGGGAAGGACAGCGTTTGCGTGATCTTCTTGCCTGAAGGGATCCGGGCCGCGTGGACCAAAAGAGCACAACATGAACAGGAACGCATAGGCTCCGGTCTGTGGGAAGAGCTTGCGCGGTTGCGCGATCCAGCTGGTTGTCTGAAAGGGGTTAACTCAAGCGCAGGGGGGGGGTCGGCTGAGAGAGCTGAGAGGTGTGTCTCTGTCACGCGCCTTCGAAATTTTGGTACTTGCGGTTGTGCATCGCGCATGGTGCAGTGTGGAGTGTCTCCTCGGGTCGCGCCCCTCGCGCCTCGCGGCCTCGGTCTATGCACGCATGCATTCGACGCGGGGCACACAAATTCACAAGAAACCGCAGGGTCATGGACATGCACCGCAGCCCGCAGGGCGTCAGAAACTACAAGGTGCGCTCTATATCTAACACGCACACCTGTCCAAAGTACAAACCGGGGGCGTGGGAGAGAGCCTCTAAGCTCCAGGCGGAGGCTGGTACTCGGCCCGTGCCGGTGGGTGGCCAAGTAGACCTTCATCCCGCCCACAAGCCCGCCTCGCCGCCGCCGTTACCCGAGGCTAAGCGCGTTGGCTTGCTCCGACGAAGCCCAGCGCGAGGCTTGCCCCTCCCCCCAGCTGTCGTTGTGGCCGAGCCGCTGCACCGCCGTGCGCGCGCGCTTGGCCGGCTTCTCACCCCCTCTCGCTGCCGCCTCCGCCACTGCCGGCGTCGGAGGCTCGTAGACCGCCGGAGGCTCGCCCGCCGCCGGAGCCGACGGCCCTGCCTCTCCCCCCGCCTGCCCGGCCGTCCTCGCGTACGCCACCGCCGTCTCCCATTTCCGTCGGTAACTTTGGAGGTGCGACCTGATGTTGTCCCGCGTCGGCGCGCCCTCCTCCCCCTCGGCTCGCACCCCATCAGCCGCCGGATGGCCAGTGGCCGGGCGTGCGACACACCGAGCTGGAAAACGGCCCGCTCGAACCGAAGGTGCATCTCCGGCGTCCAAACGAAGCGCTTGGTCGGGGGGCTGTCGGCCTCCGGCGCCCCTCCCTCCGCATCGCTCTCCTCGCCGCCGCCGCCACGAGACGCACCGGCCTCTCTCCCCGCCTGCCCGACCGCCCTCGCGTACGCCACCGCCGCCTCCACCGCCGTGTCGAAGGTGCCGATGTGGACCTGCCCTCCGTCCACCGTGTGCTGCGCCCAGAAGCGGCCAGAGGCCTGCTTGAACACGTTCTTGTAGCCAGTGCTGTTGCTGGAGAGGTGCAAGCGCAAGCCCTCCGCCTCTCCGTGGCCAATGCCGGAGGCTGGTACTCGCCGACCGCCCGCGCATACGCCACCGCCGCCTCCACTGCTGTGTCGAAGAGGCCGATGTAGACCAGCCTTCCGTCCACCATGCGCTTCGCTTGGAAGCGGCCCGTCCGCGAGTGCTCGCCCACGCCCTTGTAGCCGGTGCTGCTGCTGCTCGAGAGGTGCAGCCGCAGCCCCTCCGCCTCTGTCGCCACCGCCGGAGGAGCCGGAGGCTGATACTCGCCGACCGCCCGCGCGTACGCCACCGCCGCCTCCACTGCTGTGTCGAAGATGCCGAGGCCGACATTCCTTCCTTCCACCCTGTGGTTCGCCTGGAAGCGGCCAGAGGGCTCCTTGAACACGTTCTTGTAGCCGGTGCTGTTGCTGCTGGAGAGGTGCAAGCGCAAGCCCTCCGCCTCCTCGGCCTGCTGCAGGTCCATCCCGGCGCACTCGCCGTGGCACCAGCGGCCGCACGCGTCGCAACACACCCACACGCCCTGGAACGGCAAGCTGCTGCTCGGGAGGTGCAGGTCCGTGCCGCAAAAGCAGCCCAGCCCCTCCTCCTCCTCCTCCTCCTCCTCCTCCTCCTCCTCCTCCTCCTCCTCCTCTTCCTCCTCCTCAAACAGACTCCTCCACCTCGAGTTTCCTGGGTACACGCCAAGGTAGCCGGTGCTGTTGCTGCTGGACAAGTGGAGCCGCAGCCCCTCCGCCTCCGTCGCCACCGCCGGAGGAGCCGGAGGCTGGTACTCGCCGACCGACCGCGCGTACGCCACCGCCGCCTCCACCGCCGTGGCGAAGGAGCCAAGGTGGACCTGCCTTCCATCCACCCTGTGATTCGCCTTGAAGCGGCCAGAGGAGTACCGCCACACGCCTAAATAGCCGGTACTGCTGGCGCGAGAGGTGCAGCCGCAGCCCCTCCGCCTCTGTCGCCACCGTCGGAGGAGCCGGAGGCTGGTACTCGCCGACCGCCCGCGCGTACGCCACCGCCGCCTCCACCGCTGTGGCGAAGGAGCCGATGGAGACGCTCCTTCCGTTCACCCTGTGCTGCGCCTCGAACGGGTGCACCCCCTCCGCCTCGTCCGCCACCTCCGCCAGCGCCGCGTGGCTAGCCGCCGGCGGGGGAACCGCGGCGTGCCACTGCTCGAGGGAGCCGTAAAAGTCGAGGAACTCGGCGCGCGTGTACGACTCGCCCTGCGGGCAAGTCGGGTCCACGCGCCGCTCGCAGGCCCTCGATGACGCCTCCGCCGGCGGACTCGGCTTGCCGGCGGCCAGCTTGGCCATGCCGGCGGCGCGGCGCGCGCCCATGCTGCGCGCGACAGCCTGCGGCAAGTTGCGCAGCACGCCGCTCGCGAGGTTGGACGCGATCTCGGAGAGCTCCTGCGGCGAGCAGTGGAGTCGACTCAACGCGGCAAGAGGGCTGGCGCAGGGCCACCACTGCCGCCACCGCCGCGCGCGCCTCCTCCGTAAAGGGCTTGTTGGAGACGTAGCAGAGCTGCGTGAGCGTCAGAGACGAGGGCCGGTCGCGGTCCGCGCCGCGCACCTGCATCTGGTGCTCTCCAGCCCCGCACGACGCACAGACGTGCCGGCTAGTGGGCTGCTAGCGCTCTGGGGGGTGGGGGGGGGGGTTATAACGGAGCGTCCGAGTGGTGCCACTCAGACTGGGCGCTTTGCGCACCGCGCACGTGATTAGAAGCCATGGCCTCTCAGTGTCTTCACCGCCTGCCGGAAGCTGGCAGCCTCGAAGACAACGCGCCAGACAGGCACAGTGTCGAAAGGGAAGGCCAGATGACATCAAACGATCAAAGGAGGCAGCATTCTATTCGAGGACCTTGACCACGTGCGCAGAGCTTGAGAAGACACAGAGCTCTGACTGGGACCAAGCGCCTGATGGCCACGCCGACTTTTCGCGGAAAGCAAAAGCTGTACAACCATCTGAGCGCTCCGGGACTGAGCGGCGCCGTGAGCCGGTTCCGTCTTCCGAACGGTGATCCGTGAACGTCCTCAAATGGGCGCTCTACCCGATCGTACACCCTGCACTTATGATTCTCTCCAGTCAACATGCGAGGTGTCTAGACGTGATGCTGATGGTCACCAGAAGCTTGTGTGAAATTATCGCACTCCCTCGGGGGTTGTCATGGGACTAGATAACACACGGAATTAGG